TTATATAATATTTTTTACATCTTCATTCCTTTTAATTTTTATTTTCAAACTATCAATGGCAATAGGTAACAGCCGCTAGCCACCCAACATTAAATTAACAATCGGCACACAAGCGTTCCCAACATAAATTCTTGCATATCGCACATCTGTTTTTTAAGCTCACATACATACAAACGAGTATACGCAATTGTAAGTGCACACCCAAGTTTGTGGCGGCCACAGTAGCATGCCGCATGCCAATGAGCGGGTTCGCTACCGCCACTCGAAGTCATCGAATACGCTATAATCCACCACTAAGCTATGCCGATGTTTAATTGCTTCATTATAATTATTTGCCGCACACTCATGGCGTGTATGTGTGTGTGTGAGAGCGCTTTTTTTTCTTCAATTTCTCCGCGATCTAAAAGTGTTATACACATGTGCACAAGGGTACTTAAACACTTCCATACTTCCATACTTGCCTACTTACATGAAATGCGTAYACACACACACAGCCACGCATACATGTGTAGCATACAAGTGTGTTGTGCTTATTTACATGGCCTGTATATGGATGGCAAAATGTATTTACGCATGCTCAACGTGACATTTGAGCGCTTTATTGTTATTGTTTTTGTTATTATTATTTTTATTCTTTAATTRAGGAATTCAGAAATTTTTATACAACAAAAAACTGCGTTATTGYTATTGCTACTGTTGTTAGAATTAACTGTTGTTTTGTCCATGACTTTTCAGCTTTTTTGTTGCTGCGCTTTTTTCAACAATTTCCATACATATTAACCCTTATTGGCGAATACATATGTAGTTATGTATGTACTTCGTTGCATGTACTTATATAGTTTTACATAGCCATATAAGGCTAGAGTTACATGTAGGTACACATGCTCTCACGTACTTAAATTCTCCATTAAATTACTCATTGTCCCATTATTGGCTGGAAATTTTAATTGACCTTCCATTTGTGTATTATCTCGCACATTTTTATTGCTATTTTATTCGTGGCCTTTCGCTCATTGCGCATATGCGCATTCAATGCGCATTCTTCAAAAACAAAAAAAAAATTAATTATGAGATTTTCTTTTATTTTCGATTTTTATAAAAGTATTTCATATTTTTCAAATTTTTTTAAGAATAAATTTTTGAAAAAAAAATTGAAAACTAGAAAAAAATTTGAATGAGATATATTATTTTATTTGCGATTTTAATAAAGTTGTTTAATATTTTTCAAATTTTTTTAAGAATAAATTTTTGAAAAAAAAAATCAAAACTAGAAAAAAATTTGAATGAGATATATTATTTTATTTGCGATTTTAATAAAGTT